ATATAATAATTAATATGAATTTTGGATCAACATTCTCCTAATTTCCAGTACCCCTTGATAATAAAACATTGAATTATTCCCCCAACAATAAAATCCCTTTTTTATCTCAACGGAGATTCAGCTGTCATTACCATAAATCATGTGTGAATAAAACAAATGAAATAGTGAGTAGAGTTTCAAATGTCGGAGGATGTTTATGGACAAGTCAGTGTGCAATGACAAGCACTTGGGAATTATTACTGGAATTCCCTGGGGTCCGGTCTATTGAGAAAATCCGCAATTTCTTGCATTAACAGAATAAAAGATGAAAAAATCATTGAAAAATGCGCAACGTGCCATCGTGTCCGTGAAAACCAGTTCTAAACGCTCGGCCTCGGGTTCGTAAAAATCGTTGTGGTGGGTAATAAATGATTACCAAGTGTGTCTGGGTAATAGTTGTAATGTCTACTGGTGTAAAATGCCATTGCCTTCACTTTCAAAAACGCATAAACTAGATTATATTCAACTGGCTTCCTGCACGCATGGGTGATTGTGCTTACGGCGGTATGAAGTGTGAACTAACGTGTCTACGAGCTGTCTTATCGGGTAATAATAAAGTGCGTGATATGGGGGTTAACGTTTTCTATGCAGATTTTAATCGTTTTTGATAATTAGTAGTTCATAAATATTTACAGGGATATCATAGTTTGTTTCGAGGAGGGAAGCGTTTCCAGCGTTAGAAACTTTTGTTTCAATTAATTTTACGGGTGGCTAGGGCGACGGCGCGCTCTGCGCGCCTCTACGACGTGAGACTAGACTAATCAGTCTGCAGTTTAAATTTCCTGTTGAAACATTAACAGAAAATAATTGCAGTAATGTTTCTCATGAATGAGACATTCTAAATGCTCAACGATTGGTATTAAAAGAATTGGAAAAATATTGAAATGAAGAGATGAGAAACATTGAAAATTTTTCTTTCCAAATTGATTATTTTTCACTCGAAAAATTATTCACCACCGAAGACAAACCCGTTTTGGCATAATTTTGACCCGTTACTGTTTCAAAGTAACTTTCAAATGATTCGTATCTCGTGAATTGCACACCGAAGGAGAGAAAAGGCTATACACCTCAGCCATAATCGTCCCAACAGTGGAAGAGGGCTCTCGGGTTTCGTTCAGTCCGAGGCCCCGCTCTCTGGACACGGTTCGAAACCTTTATTTATGGCGAAATGATCAGGTTGGTAATTGCGATGCCTCCACACTCGCTGAGAGAGAGAGGCATCTTCCGGTTTATCATCGGCTTCTGAACGTGAGTCTTGCAGACATGCATTCACATATTTTATAAAACCATCGACGGGGAATGCCGAGTGAATAACAGATAATATTCAGTGTGAATCATTCATAGATCATCGCACGTTACTCAGAAATTAATAGCATCAACAGCGAGATGTAACTGTTGGTGTCCGATTATCGTTCCCATTCTCCTTACCCCAGAGAGCCCTCAACTATTAATAGATTCGTTTCTCATCGCGACGTCTCCGCACAGTCTCATTCTCAAAAAAGTTCTTACAATGTTTAATTTCCATTCTATCTTGATTTGATGTTTATTTTCACAAAAAGCGAAACATCTTCGTCTGCTCGCGAGACCAAAGCGTCATGCCATTCCCGTTTTTATCAGCGATGGGAGGAAAAAAGTTCTGGTACGAATCAATTTTAGAATTACAAAAAATTTTTTCTGTTTATGAAATGCTAATTTGAGTGGCAAGTCTTTATTTTTTCTCAGCCCGGTGTACGTTTGAGCCGGGGCATCACTTTGAGACGCGCGATATGTCAATGTCAACATCTCAGACCCTTTTTCCCTCACCCCGGTATTTTTCAAATTCCGCTCTTCACCGACACTCTTTTATTCATCCCAAATTGCGAGTGTTTGGGAGGACCGTGACCTTGGGGGTGTGAATAGGGCTTTGAAATGGTTTTCGCAAGATTGGAAAAATTCTTTGACTACTCCGATTTTACCTTTTTTCTGGGGCGCGGTGATTATTCAAAAATGAGGAATAATTGGGGGTTGAAAGGGGCACAGCCTTGGGTTCTTTTGGGGTCGGAAGGGTGGAGCCAGTCCCGCTGGGTAGGCAAATGGACGTTGGAAATGGGCCTGACCTTCATGGGCGAGCCTGAGCGATTCTCTATTGACTTCCGCAAACAGACAAGAGCCTTGAATAATTCCCGGTGGCAAGTCTTTATTCCACAGGGGAAAAAAATACTTGAATTGTGATAAAATATACTTGAAATTTTCTTCACCATCACCACATTTTCCAAACTGTTTCACGCTCATCTCATTCAAGAGAATGTCAAACATTTTATTTTTCCATCTTAAGCATATAATGCTAACAACCAATTGAATATTGAATTAGCTATTATCTTTTCGCTTATTTTTTGCGTTTTACACATTGTACATATGTAACTTGTCAATACCAGGCTGAAGGCCCTCGGGCGATGGCCAGTCGCAAGTCTCTTGCGACGAATTCCGTTAAAAATAAAAATAAAAAAATATACTTGAATCAAGTGTACTTTATACTTGAATTAAGTACATTATATATTTGATTCAAGAATGTCATTCTTGATTCGAGTTTATTATATATAATACTTGATTCAAGTATATTATTCTTGATTTGAGTATATTTTATACTTGAATCAAGTATTTAATATACTTGATTCGACTATAAAATATATTTGATTCAAGTGTATTTTATACTCAATTCAAGTATATTTTTTTCCGTGCACTGTAGTTGATTTCTTTGTGGCAATTCTGGACAAATGTTAACATTAATTTGGTTTGTTGCTATTTTAAAATTGTGTAGTAAAATAACGCCGTGATGGGGAGAATATTCAGTTCTCGAAACATTGGCGACTGGAAAAATAGGGGTTTTTCTTCTTTTTTTACCTTTATTATATTAACATTGACGATATTGACCGCGTGATGGCCCAGTGCAGGAGAAAATATATTAATGATGATTGGAGCCGTCGAAATTGATCTAATTTTATCGAAGTTCCCGAGTCGGAAAATTTCAATGGTGTTTGAAACACAATTCTTCAGAATCAATCATAGAGCAAAGCATAATCACACCTAAACTTAATTCCCTAACATTAGAGAACGCCGATCAACCTTCGTTCATTTTACAAAAGCGGGGAAGAGGCCAAACCCTTCGACTCCGTCCCAACCTGAGAGAAAAATCAAAATCTCCCCACAGCCGGACTATTCTTCCCTCCACCATTCATCAGGAAAAACCCGGGGAAAAAATTTTCAAGAATTAGATCGCCCTTGCGTCTCCCACCCGACCCCCGCCGAGTCCTCTACCCCGGAATCATCGATTCCCCGCTATCAAGCGCTCCAAAAATTCCTCCCGCCACCGGAAAAAGCCACAAGAACCGAAAAGAGTCAACAATCCTCACTCAACCTCCCAATGTCCCTGATTTACGAGTGGGTTGCGCACATACAGAGTTACACACGATATCATAATACCATTAATTCTTCGTCAAATTCCCGGCTGACTGAATCATAGCGTTGCCGGCGCAGTAAATCATGGCGCGACTAATGCGCACACACGCGCTCAACTGAGGGCGCGCGGGTACGCCGGACTAACCAAAAAGTTGAGATGAGAAAGACCAGTGTGTTTTCATCCCATAATTCTTATCTCGTCTTGAGCCGTGGGGGCAGGTGGATTTAGTTCACAAGGAAACCGCGTCAAGCAATATTATCTTGATCTTACCTCACACATACACCCGACAAATCCAACATTTCCGTATTTTCGAGTGAGTCCTCCTTGTTTCCAACTCAAGCATCGGAGATCAGAGGAAAAAAATAAATAAATCGCGACTCGTGCCGCCAGGATTTACGAAATCCAAACAGCATCCATCAAGATTGTGATGGAAATCGTCGGCAGTTGAGATTTACGCGGAATGGAAAGGTCGAATGATAATTTCGGTAATCGCTGATTACGCGTGTTTCGGTGCGTCTGTGCTACCACGGGACCAGAAACTAAAGATGGCGGAGGTGGGATGAGGGGTTTTCGCTTGATCTCGGTGATTTATTCACATGCTGCTTGGCAAGGTGGAGCAGGGGCCTAATTTTACGAGGTCACCCGACAAATTGCCATTCACGAGGGCCTCTTGGGCCAGTGTTTATAATATTTATCCCGTAAATTCACCCAGCGAACGATGCTTTCGGTCGCATACGTAATTTCTCGGCGAGAAGGGATCACCGAGGGCGTGATATTATTATCATCATGACTTTATTCAAGATTCAGGCGAGACTTGTTTGTAATATTTAAGAAGCTTTCAAGGCAAATTGTGGATCACAGTTGTCTGTGTTGGCGGGGAATTTTATGGCTGTCCCTAGACCAGGGTGAGACGGGACTTTTAGGGGCAATTGAGAGCGAGGGACCACACGTGGTCCTGAGGATCCTGAGGCATGCATAACTGTGTCCTGTTTTCTCAGCGAGTGAAGCTCGCACATGCAAGAAATACGTAGAAAATACTGGAGGTATTGTTGGAGCCGCCGGTGGTCCGACAATTTTATTCCCTCGAAAGTCCGAAGAACAAGCCAGACCTCTACTAGACGAATGGTGATTGCTTTCAGAGAGCATTCAAGTAGTCCCGCAATACCGTTAATGAGCGGAGAATAAAAGATGAAGAGTCTATGAAATTACATCGGCCATTGTTGCTGGATGAAAGAATATTGCGGGCCGATGATGTGCCGAGAGATGAATCAGAGGGCAATGAAGACCTGGGAGAATACTTTCGACACGAGATCTATTTAACCTTTTGGCGGGTGGCCTTGTCTGTGAACTATTCCTGATTTTCCCACGGATCCTTATCGTTTCCATTCTACAATAGGGATAGCGGAATAATTTCGAAGAGTTAGAAGATCTGTCGATCATCGCGTCGAGCGAAAGGTAGGAGTTTGCAGTCATCCTAGTTTTGGGAACAGTCGGCTAATGAATTTTCTAACGAGATTCTACTCACTCTGTCCAATGTGAACCCTCTTCATCCACGGGTAAATCTGCGGTGGATTACCACTGCTGCTATTCCCCTTATTCGAAGAATTATTTCCAGTACTGGAGGTACTCGACGTTGACGAAGCAGGCGAGGAGGCCGACGAGGCTGTTGTCAACGTAGAGCTACCTTCCCCAACACCCCTGGCGCTACCGCTCGGTGGAGACGACGCGGAAGCAGCGACCGATGACCTGGAGGAGCTACCCGGAGGTGACGTCAATCCAGCCCCAGCCTTGCTGGTCCCAGCCAGTGGTGTCGGACTATTCCGCGACGTCGACGTCGTCAGATCCTGTGGTGAAGCAACTCCAGTCGAAGACGTCGAGTCCGCGTACTTGCAGCTGGAGGTTGACGGCACAGACGTGGAGTTGGCGCCCTGGAGGAGTGGACTCGTTGGATCCACCGAGTGAATCTGGCCCTGTTGGTGATGCTGGGGATGATGGGACTGCTGGTGCATGCTGTGTTGGCTGGTCGTCGACGGATTTAACCTCGGCTGAGGCTGGAGTTGGGTGTAGTCGATCATCTCGGTTGGTGGCTGATGCTGCATTCCACTGGCTGGCGCCGCGTAAGGATGCGGTGGGTAGTGCTGTTGGGGTGAGTAACAGGGGGTTGGGTATCCAGCAGCCGCGACATTTGGATTGTAGTAATTACCAGCGGCGGGTGATGCTGCTTGCAGTGGCTCACCCGGGGAATTTGGCGTCGGCCGGGACGGCTGCTGCTGCTGCTGTTGGGCCTGTTGGCCGGCGTAGCACGACGCCAACGAATTCACAAACTGATAGGAACTCATCATCGATTTATTGCTCTAACTGTTTCTCGACAAGACGACACTCGCAGTGTCCAAAGGTACTCACATCAGCACTTTATCATCAATTGAACTTGCTGAAACGCTTCACTCCATCAACCGCACCAATTGTTCATCCATTTTAATACAGTCATTTCGCGATTATCCTCATTCAACACCGATAATACCACATTGACGATTATCGTTAAACAACCCACCGATTAACCATTCGATAATGAAGGAGAACGGCCGAGGGTGGGAGGGTCCCGACTAATAGAGAGGCAGGGCAAATAACCCGCAAAGTTACTTTACGAGCGCCACGTGGGTTACAAGTGGGGAAAGAAACAGCTATAAAACTGTCTTCCGTTTCTTTACGACCTTACCGGGCGCAATTACCCACAGGGAACACCGGGGACCCGACACGCTGTTGCTGCTACTGCCTACCGTCAGCACGGGCCCTGTCCCATTGAGGAACATTGAGGTTGATCACTCGGCTTTTAGTTCGCTCTTTCCTCAATATTATATCTATTACTTCATTAAGTCATCACCCACCGATTTTTACAATCACAACAGACAAAACTCACCACTTTCTTCCCATTTTTTAAATTTTCTTTTAAATGAAATTCAATTTAATCGTTAATTCACTCAACTTCGAAGTCATCAACTTCCCGCGATATCGAGCAACCGATGGGAAACGGTGATTTTAAACGAACGACGGACACTGGACCAGTGGTAGCACTCCCAGCGGTGTACAACCAACAAATGTGCACTCTCTCAAGTTGTGCCTGTTAGATTACCGCCGAAGGGGGGGGGAGGGGGGCNGGGGGGGGGGGGGAGGGGGGCTTTAAGAAACACGATAGAGCTGCCCCGTGTGTGCTGCGTACGCGGAGGGAGGTGGTATCGTACTGAACCACCGCGATCCTCGTAGCCGGTGCGGTAGCTGTCACGTGCCCGCGCTGCGTGTCAGGAGAACCGACCAATCCCCGTCGTTCGTCAAACCTTGATTGGTCTCTTTCTCGTTTCTCTCCTCGTGCCGCTCCAACGACTCTCTCTCACTCTGTTGCATTGACTGTGCGCCACCGCCGTCGCACTGGGGCTTTTTCGTATACGAAAAATCCTTCAACCCCGTTCCCTTCGGTACCGACCCGACAAGGGCTCAACTACTTCGCTCGTCGGGGGAGGGAAGAGGACGGCTTCACGCGAGGGGGGGGGGGAGCTCTGTAAGAGGCCCGTCAGGGGGACTAATGGAGAGATATTCGGGAGCTTGTGGGTATCGTTTCAATGGAGAGGGGGCACACCATCCTGTCGTCTTCGTCTTTCGCACTGTTTTAGGAGCGGGTAATGTCAGGGGCTAGCAGTTCCCCGTCGCTTGCCGACGCGCGCGCGCTCGCCTGCTCCCCTCTGAGGTGGACCCCCTCATTATCCGGGGGGGGGGGAGATAGTGGGCGAGATGCAGTCGGGGGTGGACTATCTGCCAGGCAGGGTTGTTCGGATTATTGTTACAGTAATGATTGTCGGATTATTGGCGGAATTTTACGAGTCGAGCGCCCAGTTGGGGAGAGTATTCACGCTTGTGGCTCGTTTACACTGTCATTTTTAAGGGAATATGGGAGACTGAGGCAATTGGTATTTGTGGATGGGATTCTTAATGTTGGGATGGTTATAAATCAGTAGCGAAGTTGTAAAACGGTTTAAGTTGAAAAGTTAAGTTGAAGTGGTTGAGTTTTTGGGGGATATTTCCGAATCTAAGGGAGATAGCGAAATTTTTGTTATTACATTTGTTGTAGCTCTCAACTGGCTCTACAAAAAAGTTTATAACAAATATTTTGTTATCTCCGTTAGATTTTGAGATATTCATGGAAAACTCGGGAATAGTCAAAATTGACTTGAACGGTTTTCGACTGTCACTATAATTGCACTAAAAATTGATTTCATACACTTTGGATTGTACAGTTGTCCTGAATGTATTTGAAACTTATATTGAATATTATGATGTTGACATGAATTAAATTGTGTTGAATACAAGACTTGGCTAGGCCGATTTAAGATTTAAAGATTTTCTGGAGAAATGATTGAACTTCTGTGAATGAACTTCTTCAATCATTTCAATTATAATTTTTTTATTTAGTCAAGGGGAACAGGCGGTTATAATCCATAACAAAATGTAAAATATGCGGTATTAAATTCAAAACAAACAGTAAAAAAATTATTCGATAATAAATCAACGGNGGGGGGGGGGGGGGAGATAGTGGGCGAGATGCAGTCGGGGGTGGACTATCTGCCAGGCAGGGTTGTTCGGATTATTGTTACAGTAATGATTGTCGGATTATTGGCGGAATTTTACGAGTCGAGCGCCCAGTTGGGGAGAGTATTCACGCTTGTGGCTCGTTTACACTGTCATTTTTAAGGGAATATGGGAGACTGAGGCAATTGGTATTTGTGGATGGGATTCTTAATGTTGGGATGGTTATAAATCAGTAGCGAAGTTGTAAAACGGTTTAAGTTGAAAAGTTAAGTTGAAGTGGTTGAGTTTTTGGGGGATATTTCCGAATCTAAGGGAGATAGCGAAATTTTTGTTATTACATTTGTTGTAGCTCTCAACTGGCTCTACAAAAAAGTTTATAACAAATATTTTGTTATCTCCGTTAGATTTTGAGATATTCATGGAAAACTCGGGAATAGTCAAAATTGACTTGAACGGTTTTCGACTGTCACTATAATTGCACTAAAAATTGATTTCATACACTTTGGATTGTACAGTTGTCCTGAATGTATTTGAAACTTATATTGAATATTATGATGTTGACATGAATTAAATTGTGTTGAATACAAGACTTGGCTAGGCCGATTTAAGATTTAAAGATTTTCTGGAGAAATGATTGAACTTCTGTGAATGAACTTCTTCAATCATTTCAATTATAATTTTTTTATTTAGTCAAGGGGAACAGGCGGTTATAATCCATAACAAAATGTAAAATATGCGGTATTAAATTCAAAACAAACAGTAAAAAAATTATTCGATAATAAATCAACGGTTCAGTTCCGTTTTGGCTATTAACCAGTTTTCAATGAATATCTCCGAATCTATGGGAGATATAAAAAATGTTGTCATGACCTTTTTTGCAGCTCTTCGTTAGCTTTATAAAAAAAGTAATTACAAAAATTTCGCTATTTCCCTTAGTTTCGGAGATATTTCCCGTCAAATCAGCGAATAAACAAATCGATTTGACTCCCTTTACCGTTTCGCCACCGAATTTTCTGAATAATTTTTGATTTTGTGGGATTTTCAATTTTATTAGTTCAAATAAACAGTGTGAGAAGGTCGACTGGGGCAGAGATCAAGGGGATCGGCAGGTTAAAATTCACCGCGATGTTGGGTGCAATGGAAAGAAGGAAGAAAGAAAAGGGACTCACATAATTCAGAGGCAGGCGGCCGCGGTTGACAGTTTTATGAGAGTTTGATAGCCTCTTGGGCGCAACTACGTGCGATCCCACAAGATCGCGAATGACTGAGGGAGATGGTGAATGCGCACAACGCGTAGCACTCTTCATTGTCCCATAAATTCAAACCTGTTGCCCCGAGTCGAGTGAGGGATTTTTCGGCGGGGGAGAGTCAGAGGATTCCCGGATTGTTCGGGAAGCCACCGCGATTATGATTTTCATTCTATTCCCCGTTGTTTTGGTGATACGAAAGGAGGAGAGGCATCAGCTGGAGTGCAAGGAGGCGGCGGCGACCGATAAGGGGAGGCGGTCGAGGGGGCGGGGCTCGATAATCGCGGAGATATTTCTTGATATCCTTGACACTGAAGATAATATTCCAAGAGAATTTCGGAAACAGTTGGACAGTCGAAAAAAATTTCTCGTTCCTCTTTCCATTTTTTTCCCTCTCATATCGGGGACAATTTTTTCATCTCGAATGCCTCGAATTGTGGATAGAATACTCTCGAGATCAAAGAAACATCTCATAATTTTTTGTCATGATTTTGGGGAAAAAAAGAGTGGAGGGGGGAGAGGGTAGTTTCTGCAGTTGCTCACCAGATGTGGCGAGCGCGGCGGTTCCCGTTGAATTGAAGCGCGCGACCGCCCCCCGGTTTCCCCCACCACCGCGGCGGTGATCCGTGCTACCCCCACCACTGGCGCAGCGCCCCCCCATCCCTCCGAGGCGCACACGGAGTAAAACTGGCTATCTCTTCCAGCTCGTAGGCCAAACGCGTCGAGCATGTAACTTGGAGTTTTGCACAGGTTTTCGTAGTCTCCTTTTCTCGCGGGAGCGCGGGGCGCGAGGCGCGGGGGCAAACGAGTATTTTATCCCTGATTATCGGGGATTCTTGATCAAGGGATTGTCCGGGGAGCTGCGAGGGTGATCATATCGAAGGGATAGCCTTTCAGCAATTTTACTCGGCGGGAGGTGAATGGGTGACTGTTTCATTCATGGAGGAAAATTTTGGGAGGTTTAAGCCGTCGAATTAAGACGGATTAAATGATGGTGGGTTTATGATGGTGTGTGGACGGAGGAGAGAATTGCAAAAATTTTTAGTTTACATTAAGGAAGAGAAATGCAGAATAATAAATTTCAGTCGTCTTGGTTCTCGTCCGAGTTTTTGAGGAATATCTCTGAATCCGAGGGAGCTGGCGGAATTTTCGTTAAGAGCTTTTTTGTAGAGCGGTTCGAGAGCTACAATAAAGGTGGTGACAAAAATTGCGCTATCTGCCTTAGATTCCGAGATATGCAGTAAAATTGATGAATAGTAAAAATCGACTTGATTTGTTTTATCGTTTTTTACTGAATTTATCGTTGATTTTTCGTCCTTTCAACGAGTCAGGTATTTTTAAGTTTAAAAAATACATGAACAATGAAAAAATCCAAGTATTCTGCACTGCCGCTCTTATAACCAGAGATTGGCAAAATTTTTTTCTAAATAACTTTAAATTTGAGAATAATTTTCAATTCTCAATCTCAATTAAACAATTAATTCTGACTATCTGAATTTGATTTTTTCAATTAATCA